CCATCCTCCCTGCACCTCCAGCGGGTAGGGCTGGCAGGGCCGCTCCTCTCAGCTTCTCCACAGCCCGAGTTCGCTGAGCCCCTCAGGGCCGGCTTGGGCCTGAGGGGGTGCCTCACGGCCCTTGCGCTCCTCTTGGGGCCCCACTCCCACGTGCAAGCTAAGCTCTCAGCTGCCCTCTCAGGCCACTCCCCCCTCCCCTTACACACTGGGCTGGGTAAGTGGAGAGGGCGGGAGGTGGCTGTGCTAAGCCACCTCTCCCCATACACACCCTATTAGCAGCCTCTGGCTCCGCTTAGCTAGTGCTGGTCAAGCCGGTTTACTCCAGTGAGCTGGGCTGTCTGAGGATTCTAGAATTAGCTAGGCTGGGGAGAGTGACCTTGGACTAGGAGAGATGGCAGGGGCAGAGGGCTCCCTTTGTTCCTGGGGGGGCCTTACCACGTTCTCTGTCCCATACGTCTGGACTTGGCCCACCCCTGCAGGTCACCCCAGAGACACTCCCCCTGAAGCCTACACAGGTGCGCTCCCGCACACACATCTGCACACCTGGATGCCAGGCATACACATACGGACATGTGACATCACCTGACTGCACACTCACGTGTTCTCCCCGTGAGCACGTATGCGGGAGTACACACATACACACATACACACACACCTACCCTGAGTGTGCAAGCATGTGCAGTTTCCCCCTTTTCTCCTTTGTTCAATATGACATATATACCCACATTTCCTCACCCTGATCACATACACTCACTCAAGCTATCACACACACCACACATACCCTCACCCAAGCGAAGATGGGAACACACACACCCAGGCACATGCTTCCCCTGATTATTTATATGCACAGGCACCCTCCCGCAGAATGCAAACACTGCACGCACGCATTGATAGGGCACACGCAGCATCACGTATTTCCCCGTCCTGAGAATGCACACAAACTCTGCATTGCTACACATGCCCCAAGAACACTTGGTGATGCATTTCCTCATGCTGAGTGTCCTGGTGTACACATGTACACACCCCAAGCACATACATATGCACATACACATGCACGCAGACACACGTACACTCTCAGGGGCAGTTAGGAACTCTCTCTCTCTCTGCACTTGGGGTCTCCACACAAGATCAGAGTGATGACAGGGAAGTTCCTGCAACTGCTCTCCTGTCCTCTCCTCTGGGGTAGCCTGGACTGGGGACCCCCATCTCTCCACCTGCAGAGGTGGTCCCTTGCCCAGGTAACCTATGGAATCACTCTGCTGGACCAAAAGCCCCCTAGGTCTCCCCAGTTTTCCGGTCGTCCTCTTTCCCTGAGGCTAAAAAGGAGTGCAACCCACCTGGCAACCCACCCTAACCTCACCCACCGGGGGTCATACTCACTGACACGGGGGTGGGTGATGTAGTTTCGGGTGACCGCCTGCATGTGCTCGAGAGCTGCGCCAAGGTTGCAATCACTGCTGGGGAGCCCCCCAGGCCTACTGTCTACCTCCGTGGCCATGGCGAGCTGGGAGCAGAGTGCCTGAGCCTGCTGAGGGAGGTCTGGTGCTCCAGGCCCAGCTGGAGCTGGAGAGAGCTGACCAGCCTGCCCCGGCAGTTACCCCTCCCCTCTCCCCTCCTCCCCTCCGCAGGTCAACAGTAAACAGGGAAACTTGGTTTCCTGGAGCAATTCCAGACAAGGGACGTGCCCTAAGCCACCTGAAGTAGGAAGATGGGGGAGGGGGACAGAGGGGTCCGGCTGGCTTCTCTTGCCCCCGTCCTTGGCTGTTCCTCCACCTCCAAACGAGTGTGAGTTCATTTCCTGGAACTTCAGGTGCTTTCACAGCCCCCGGCCCCTCACCGCATCTCTTCCTGGCCTCCCCACTCAGATCTTCTCATGTACAGCCTGCTCTCACCCTGCACCCTTGGCTCTCACCATACCGGGGTACTTCTCCCTTGCACAATTCCTTTATCACTTTCTTCTGCACGCCTATGGAGGATCATTCTTGTGTCAGCTGCAGTGCCATCTCCTACAGGAAGCCTTCCCTGATCCTTCAGCTCCCTGGACTTGTAACAGAGCACAGGCATGGCCGTCCCAAAGGGAATTTGTAATGGGGTCCAGAACTTGGGGTGCCCAAGAAGACTATTAGATATTCTCCCACCCCCTGCCCACCGTGGGCCGCCATGGGGGATGGGAGACAGGGAGCAGGGCCACTGAAAGTCATTTTGACTGTCAATAACGGCAGGATAGCTTCATACCTCATATGCAAAGACGGCTATTTTGCATCTCAACAAGGCTAACCAGGAAGGTTTGCATAACTTTAACCCAAGATGTAACTAGGAAGGAGTTACAGGGCCTGCGAGAGAGACAGTGGGACATAGACACGGGGAAACAATGTGAAGACCATGCGGGAAGGAAAGGGGAGAAAGGGCTCTTGCTAGTGGGCCCTGAGAAGGCGCCACGTGGTTTTGGATTAAGAACTGGAGATCACGGCAACACAGTTAATGGTGCTGGGAACCACAAGAGGCCTGTGTAGCTGAGCTCCGGACTTCTGTTCTTTTTCTTTTGAAGGACGGTACCCCTGACTGGCCTGACTGGCCTAACCGGGCAAGGGGGGAAGGCAGGACTGTGTGTGTTGGTGGTTGTTTTAAAGGAATTTTGAGATTTTAACAGCGACATTTAGCCATTATTCAAAACCTATAAACTTTTGAATATAGTTCATTTTCTTTTCGTCAAGCTGCCACTGAGAGCCATAATTTCAAGGGCGGTGGACAATGAACCTAGAACAGAAGGATCCTGCGGTAGGAGGGGCATTGTTTTGGTAATAGTATCTGCCCCCGCCCCCAGCAACAGGCCTATTCAGTAACAGGCTCACCACATGTTTGGTCTCTTTCTCATGCTCTTCAAGGGGACCAAAGTTCTACCACCTTAAAGCTGCCTTTCAGAATATTGATTTTAAGCTGGTTATTAAGAAACAAAAGACTCAGAAAGAAACTTTGACCCTCTCCACTTTCCTGCCTAAGAGATGGGATGGAAAAATCTGCTTCAGGAAGGGAACCTTAGCTCAATCACCTTAGACAGGTTAGATCACCTTAAATCAGCATAGGCAAGAAGGCTCCTAGCAGAGCCAGTGGATTAGATTCCCCCACACCCCCTCCCATCCCATTGTTTTCTGGGCTGCCTAACAAAAATTTACCTGCTCTGTGTGTTCTGCTCTTTCCCAATTGGCTGCAAATTGCCCATTTCTACTTTTAAAATCTAAGACCCTATTCCCTGCTTTCTCCTTTGTCCAAAATGACATATATACCCAATTTTGCCTTACTGTCTTTGGAATATTCACGCTTATATGAATTCCCCTTGTGCATGTATTAAATTCTATTTTCTCCTGTTAATCTTCGTTAATTTGATTATTGGCCCAGCTAGAACTTACAAGATGGGAGGGAAAGTATTATTATTCTGTTTTTAGCCCCCACACCCTATTGGTTAGTTCTCTAGCTGCCATCACTGGTCTCAGCCCCCAGAGTTGAGCCCATGACCCCTCCATCAGACTTGGGTTCCTTGAGCCTTTCTGTCTCGTAACATGACGGCTCCCTGAGAACCAGGGCAGGTCTCTCTCCATGCAATCATAGATCCCTGTCTCATCTTCTTATATTTTGCCTCCACGGTCCCATGCAGGCAGCCTCCCCAGATATTTTTAGCCTGTGGTGGAAAGTACAAGTGGAGGAACAATTTTTTGTGCCAGGTGGCTAAAGGAGCTATGCTTTCCCCTGGGCCAGCAGAGAGCGACACAGGTCTGCTGGGCAAGGCGAGGTGGACACTGGGTGGTGGCTGGATGCTCCCAACTCAGGCTCTGCCCGGGTCACTCACATGTCTCATTTCAGACTCAGGATTCCCCGCGCCCCCCCCCTGCACCTAATTCTGGGTGACTCAGGGCAGCCAATTTGAAACTAAATACGTGTTTCCCAGAACAGCCTGGCACAGGCTGTTTCTCCCGAGTCCAACTCTTACCCCACACCCTCCGGCCTAAGGACCCATTTCAGGCCTTGGTTCCTCTCTCACAGTTTGCATTCTTTCAAGGAACCCGCTTGGGTGTGACTACGAAGGGCGAACCCCGGGAGATGGTGTGATGATGGACAGTTCTGACTCTCGATCGCTTTGCTTGTCCATGAATCTCACAAAGCGATGAAATGACATGGACCTACGCCCACTCCGTGCCGACGCCAGCTTTCTGGTTTTGATGTGATGCCACCGTTACAGAAGATGTGACCATTGGGGGAAACTGAGTGAAGAGTACAAGAAATTAGCTTGACTATCTGCAACTTCTTATAAATCTACAGTTATTGCAAAATAATAAGTTAAATGTTTCTTATTTGAGCAAAAAAAAAAAAAATTTAAGTGCCTCCTATTGTTGGGTCTGTGATGGTTGGGCCTTCTAAAGCAGGTGGGTCTCACCCGGGTGTCTCTTTCCTGCCCTCTCTCAGGCTCTCTGGATCCGCCCTCTCAAAGGACTTAATATCTCCCCTCTCAAAAATTTTAATATTTGAAAAGGGAGCTTGCAGAGGACAACGCTTAACCCACAAAAGCGTGATAGTGCTGTCATGGGTCTGCGACGTCCGCGTGGAAGTTCTCATGGGGGGGGCCAGGCACCCCCCTCCCCCCTGTGAACACTGCCCCAGTTCCTGCCCCTCCCATGAGACCTGCCCCTCACCTTAGCCCATGCTCCTTCCCCGGGAGGAGAGGGATAGAGGGTGTGGAGGGGTAGTGGTGGGGCTGTGGGGACTCCGTTTCCCTTCATCATTGTTTTCCTTTTATTTCAGTGACGGGCACACTCACACACCACACTCACACACGAACTGCGGGACCAAGGCCGACTGGTCCTGGTCCAGAGTCTCTGAGCTGCGGGGGGCGGATGGGAGGGGCAGCTGGGTCAGGGCATGTGGCCGCCCACCTCCACCACTAGGTCTGGCTGGGAGGCAGGGGTGGTGCAGTGCTAGGGGACAAAGTGTCACTCGGGGGTGCAGGCTTAAGCGTTAGCTTTCTTGGCGCCGCCAGGGCTGCCCACTCTCCGTCCTAGCCGGCTGCAGCTCCGGCTGTAGGGCTCGAAGGCCGAAGAGCCCAGTTCATAGCCGGCGGGCAGGTCCAGGAGGGGCGCAGTGGAGAAGCAGAGCCCTGGCGGAGGGGGCGGCAGCGGAGGGGACGCGGAGGCCGAGGTCAGCGGGGCGATGCGCGGGGAGGAGTTCCTGGGGTCACCCAAGGAGGTGCCCCGGTGGCCAGAAGGCAGGCCCGAGAGGCCGGGCGTCAGTGCCAGGAAGCTGGGGGCCCTGGGCGCGGACAGCAGCCGGCCCTGCTCCAGCAGCCGAAGGATGTTGGAAGTGGCGAAGGCTTCGGACGCGGAGGAGGACGCCCGCTTCTCCAGGTCTCTGCTCTGGTCTTTCTTCTGTTTGGTGCGGCGGTTCTGGAACCAGACCTTCACCTTGATGTAGTGGGGACAAGGGTGTCAGGAAGGAAGAGGGGACAGGCAAAGTAAAGGGGGCAGGTGGGAGGAGAAAAGGAGCGAAGGGGCATGGGGGTGCAGGGTACAGGGAGCGAGGGGGCAAAGGTGGAGTGAGAAGGGAAAGAAGAGCATTCAGATTGTCATTAAGGTCTCCCCCAACCAGCCTGCTCTGGGTAAACTGATAAGGGACGCTGGCCCCCCAAATCATGGACCCCCCCCCCCCCCCCGCTTCCCTGCTGACTCTGACTTAGAATGATTGGCAGACGGAAGGTGGAGTTGGGAGGAGGCAAAGGAAGTTCCCTTCTTGGCTCAACATACCTTCCACTCTTAGCCAAGTTCAGGGTTTCAGCCACCATTTAGGTGCTGGGGATTCCCAGCTGGAAATCCAGGCCACTATCCAACTGCCTGTTAAACACCACGCGCACAGGCCCGGCTCAGATTCACTCCCCCACTCAGGGGCCTCTCCCCACCGTCCTTCTTCCACCAGGGGCACCTCCATCTGCCCAAGCAGAAGCCTGCAGAGAGCTCCCAAGGTCCCCTCCCCACTCCCCCGCGCAGGCCCTCCTGGCTCCCCTGGCCCTCTCCCCTGGAGAGACTGTGCCAGTGTCTCTGCAGCTGTGCCTCTCAACTGGGCCCACCCAGGAGAGCCGCCCGGGGGGCCTCACTCACTCCTAACCTCAGACCAGTCCAATCAGAGTGGGGGTGGCTGGGACCCTGACACCAGGGGCTTTAAAGCTCACCAGGTGATCCCAAGGTGAGAGAACCACTGTTTAAGGCTCTCTGTGCCTCGCCTCCAGACCTGAACATTTGCAGGGCTGGGAGCCAGAGGAAACTGGAAGGCTCTGCCCCACCCGGACCTGCTCCATTCAGATGCACTCTCTGAGAGGGCCCAGGTCCTATCCTGAAGCACAGTGCACTCCTGGGGGTGTGGCCTTCCCCTTATCTTCTAGGAGTCTGCTGTGGTCTCCCTGGGGGCTGCCACCTTGCTTCCTCCCTCTCCCGGTTCATCCGGAGCTCAGTGAATGCCTGGTAAGTTCACCCTTGATCCCTGTGGGACGACACTGACTCAGGGCTGCACACCGGGGAGGGGTGTGGTTTCCATCTGGCTGCCAAGACTGGGGAAGCATTTTCTGGAATATCATCCATCACCTTCTTCAGGCTCGTGCATGGTCATTGTTAAATTCCAAGACTCCACTCTGGCTGGTGTGGCTCAGTGGATTGAGCACCGGCCTGCGAACCAGAGTCGCTGGTTTGATTCCCAGTCAGAGCACATGCCTGGGTTGTGGGCCAGGTCCCCATTGTGGGGCGTGTGAGAGGCAACCACACACTGGTGTTTCTCTCCCTTTCTCCCTCCCTTCTCCTCTCTCTAAAAATAAATAAATAAAATCTTCAAAAAAAAAAATCCCAAGACTCATTGTTGATTTGGAAATAACATTAATATTTAAGAGACTGCTTCCTGTGACTGTGAGTTCATACTTAATCTGAGATAAATGGTACCTGTATATCTGGGTGGCCATGGTTTTTGTAACCTGGACCAGGAAAGTACCACCTATTCTGCTGTTCTGGAAGAAGCCATCTGGAACAGAGATGATGGTCACAGGGATGAGGACAATTGCTGGAGGGCCAGAGCTGCTCTTATCCAAACTGACATGGTGATCATGTCAGTACTGGGACTTGGCAGTTTGTCCTTAGTCTGGCGCCCGGTCCCTGGTCCTGAAAAAGTCCCTTGGGCCAGCCGAGTGAGGGGAATCCTGAAGCAGGATTTTCTCCACAGCCACATCTTTTCTTGTTTCCTGCTCCGACCCTGGCACTCTGGTCCCTCATTCACACAACACATGAAGAGCAAGCATCTAATACGTGCCAGCATTGGCGGGGGCCAAGACAACAGGAATAAGTAAAACTCCTCTCTACCCACTTGGGTCTCAGACACCAGTAGTGGGGGAGAGGGACAGGCCAGCAAGTGCTGTGAGGTGGTATTTTGGTAAAGTAGCAAAGGATCGAGTGAAGGAGACCCTGAGGGCGGACAGTCTGGATTCAATTTCGGTTCTTCTCTTAACTAGTTAGGTGACATGGGGCAAGTCATTTAATCTCTGTGTGCCTTGATTTCCCCATTTGTAAAATGGGGATCATCATAATGCCTTCTCATCAGTTTGTTGTGATGACTCGCTGAACTAACAATATGGACTCAGTAGAATGCTGGCAGACACTGAAGGCTTTTAAGCAGCATGGTGACTGCATCAACTGAAAAATATGTAAGGTGTCAGGCCTCCCTTAGACATTCTGACTTGAAACCTGTGTGCTGAGTGTGGAATCTGAGCCAGGAATCTATGTTTTAATGGGACCCCAGGGGGTCCTACATATAGGTGGTTTGCAGCCCATACCTTCAGAAACACTGCTTTAATCAAACACCAAACATTCTCCTTGAAACAAAGCATGGTGACAAAACCTATTGGGGGTTTCTAAAAACAAGAGGAACTGGACTAAGTGGGCAGGAGAAGTGCTTTCAGCACATGCACCCGGGAGAAGAGGGGCTGGTGAGGGTGGAGAGTTCCTCTGATGGCTCCAAGAGAGATCCCTGTGAGACCGCCTCCTGCTCTTCGGGGCCTTCCTTCACTGCACAACCTCGGGTTCTGGGAAAGGCCAAGGGTGGAAATCAGCCGTGCTCTGTCGTGTTCACTGCTCCCACATCAGAAGGACCCCTCACCGTGCAGAACTCTGTGGGTGGTGGGGAGAGGAGGAAAGGGCTTCACGGTTCTGTCCACCCTGTCCTGTGCATAGGTTTCTCATCTAAATGTTCACATAACTCAACTTAATTGGGCACAGAGAAGTTAAGGAAGAGACTAGAAATGTGAATGAATCCTGATAAAGCCCTATGTTTTTTCTGCTTGAATTAGGACCAATCCTCGGCCCTCCAGGTATCCAGGGAAGAGGGTCAAGATTTGGGTTGGCAGCAGAAAGAGGAGAGAAGCAAACAGGTACAGAGAGAAGCAGGCACTTGGAGGGCAATTGGGCCGTGTGTTCAGTGGAGCACCAGAGAGGAGGTCTGTGAGCGCCTGGAGCTGACGTCTTGGGTCCACAGCGATCTTTGGCTTCCAGTCTCCACCAGACCTGGTTATACCATGGTTCTTGTTCATGGGTTTCCACATGGCTGTGCCTCCTGTTTTATCCCTTGGAAGTCCACCCATTATCTGAGCACACTTGAAGAAATCTCTCATCTTTTCTCCCATAGAGCCCTGGCCAAGACCCCCTCAGATAAATCAGAGGAAAACCAGCCAGGCCTAAGAGAAAAAGCTGGCATACTTTCCACACAGCTCCACTTGGATCTCAAACTTAACTGATCTAAAACAAAACTCTAGATTCCTCTCCCACTACCCTGTTTCCTTCTAACTTTCTCAACTCATTAAGTAGCATCATTGACCATTTCTCAGCATTCATCCCGTTATTCAAGTCCAAACCATTTCCCTTTCCCTTGTCCTGTGCGCAGAATCCATGAGCAAGTTCTAGCAGATCCTATCTCCAAATGAGAGTCCATTTCAGAGCAGTTCACTTCTCCCCTCTACCACCACTCTGTTCCAGACAACATACAGTAGCTCCTAACTGGTCCACTCTGTTCCCATTCTCCAGATGGCAGCCAGAGTGACCTCTGAAACTGCCAATCATCTCATGCCACTCTTCATTCAACACCTTACCAGCTCTAAGCACAGCATGATCTGTCCCGCCTACTCTACTACCCTGCAACTCTATCCACACTGGCCTTCAGACACTTCTAGAACATTCTATGCCAGCTCCCACCATCAGATCTTCAGTTACCCTGTGTCTTGACTTCTCTTCTTCTGGCTCCTCATTTAACTGTCTGTCTCTTCCCTCTCAGTCACATCTCAGCTCAATGTCATTTCCTTAAGAAACTTTTCCTGACCACCCCAATAAAGGATTTCCTTCTAGTCTCTATCATGTCGTTTTTTATCTCTCTCATAGTACTGTTAAAAAAGAGACAACAGGCCCAAAATAGAGTCACTTGTACTAAGCCCACATCACCAGATTGAGACTGAATACCTAACCTAACTACAATTTCATTCTCTCCCAGGAGTATAATCTTAGTCAGTCTGGAATTTCCTGGTTAGCACTAACAATATACACTTGACAGCCTCCTTCTGTCCTCCATGGGTAGGTTACCTAAGCCTGAAGCAATCCCTTCCTGCCTATGAACACCTTTCATTTTGCACAGCTCCTGAAAGCTCCTTCTACTTGCCAGATGGGATGCTGCCCAATTCATGAATCATGCACTAAAGCTAACAAGACCTTTAAATTTTATTCAGTTTAATTTTTGTTTATTTAACAGCACTCATCACTTTTAAATACTGTTTGTCTTTCTCATGCAGAATATAAACTGTGTGAAGGCAGGTCCTGGTCTGTTTTGTTCTCTGCTATATCCCCAGTGCCTAGAACAGTACCTATTACATAGCCAATAATATTTATGTAGGTATGTATGTATTTATAGTAATCCTCACCTGAGGATGTTTTATTGATTTGGGCGGGGGGGAGGAGGGAGAAAACATTGATGTGAGAAACATCGATCGGCTGCCTCCCATGCGTCCCCCTACGGGGGATCAAACCTGCAAGCTAGGCATGTGCCCTGACCGGGAATTGAACCCACAACCTTTTGTGTACGGAACGATGCTCCAACCAACTCAGCAACCTGGCTAGGGCTTCAATAATATTTTTTAACAAAAATATGGGTGAATATACTGAGAATTCCACAGAATCCGAGCTATATAACCTTGGGTAAGTTAACCTCCTGAGGCTCAGTGTTCTGAAATAGGAATAATATAATCCATAAGGCCTTTTTTAATAAAAAATAGATGAGCTAATAAACGTACTTACATTTAATTTCTTTGTATCTCAGTTTCCTTCTCTTTAAAGAAGGCCCCCGGGACTTGTGACTGGCATCTGATGTCCTGTAAGACTGAGCCCTTAACCTGTAGGGTCTGTGCTAACTCTGAAGGTTAGGAGCGGAATTAAATTGAATTGAACTGTTGGACACCCAGTTGGGGTTGGAGAATAGGTGGCTGTTGGTGTTGGGAAATGCCACACATTAATATCAGAAGTAGTGTCAGAAGAGAAACTTCACGCCAACCCTGCAAGTTTGTGGTGAAGACTAAAGGGGTTAGAATATGTCAGGCATTCAGAACAGTGCCTGGTGTACCGTAAGCTCTCAATAAATGTTAGCTATTCATTATATTACCTGCAAAATTCCAGGATTGGGGAAAGAGAAAAGGAGGGTGGTAAGCAATAATCAGTAAGTTAAGGATTCTTTGAGAGATCACTATGTGCCCAGCTCTGTGCTGGGCTCTTCAAGGAGGTCTGAGGAGACATGGCCTCCAAGCACGTTCTTGACCTTGGGAAGTGTGTACTGGTTGGTGCCCACCACACCACACATACACACACTTTACCATTCAAGGCATGTGGAAAAAGTTGCTTGGGAGGAGGGAAGACTTCCCAGAAGAGGGGGTGCTTGGCTTTGACTTTCAAAAGCAGGTGAATGTAGGTGTATGGGGGGCAGGGCAGGGAGAGGATGAGGACTGAGAAGGGGCCGCTGGCCTGGGCATCTGAGGTGCTGTTGGAGAGCAAAGTTTCAGGGGAGAGTTTGGGGCAAAATTAGGCGAGGCAGAGGGTAGTTAGGACATAGAAGGTAGGCAGGTATTGAGCGTTTACTCTGCCCAGACTTCAGGATTTGCAGATGTCTCCCTGATGTCCCCCAGGAGCACTGGCCTGTCCCAGGCACTACGCTTCCTCTGTGAGCACAGCCTGGCTTCCTAGCCCCAGGCTGAGCCCAGCTGGAGGGAGAGCCCAGCTGCCGTGGGCCCTCTGCTGGGTTGTTTGGGACTCTACGGAGGCGTCTGGCGTCTGGCGGAAAACAGGTCCAGGTGGGGAGGACCAACCTGGGCCTGCAGGACATCAGCCCTTGTCTAGCAGGTCCCACCCTCCCTGCCTTTCCCTCCTCCTTCTCCCGCCCCTTCCCACTGCTCTCTCTGCCCCACTTGGTATTTACCCCAGGAGGGTGAGGAAGCCCAGGCACCTCTGGCTGCCCCATCAGGAGGCGTGGACTGGACAGCCTTCTGTCAGTGTGACTGGAAGAGCTGGAGGAATCCCGACGAGGGAGGGGGTGCGATCCTGCCTTGACTGCAGCACGTGGGGCGCCGGGGAAGCACAGCAGCTGACAGTCCAGGGAGAAGCCTCCCGCATCCTCCTACATCCTTCCCCAGGAAGCGCACCCTCCCAGCCTACCGGCTCCCTTACTCCTCTCTTTCCTCTCTTCTCTTTATAAATCCTGTTTGGGCCTTGCTTACGATACATCTGTTGACAGATCTCCCTCATATATGAGGTTAAACTACTAGAGCTGTAGCTAATGAAGGGTCTCTGAGTCACTCTTTGACAAGCTCCAGATTGACGGCCTAGTTTACAGGCAGCGTAAAAAATGCCGGACTGCTTCTCTAAATCCCGTCTCTGGAACTTATTGGTTCTATGACTCTGGGTGTTATCTTTCCTCATTTGTAAAATGGGATAATACTGGTAGCTACATCAGAGGGTTGTTGGAAGGAATTAGTCTCTGACATATCCAGAATTGTAACTGAGCAGACGCTTTATTTTCTTTAATTTGGCCTTTTATTTTGATTCTTTTGACTCAACCTGGCCTCACCTAGCACCCTGACTCACCCACCTCCCTCTCCCTTGTTTAATCATTAAGCTTTCAGGCCAGCGAGGTTCCGGTCAATAACCAGCAGCCTTAAGAACAAGGTCCTGGGGCTACGGACTACCGAGGCAGAGCTTTCAATTAAGCTAAATATAAAATCTTGGCCTTAGTTTTGTTTTAGCTCTGGACCCAAGAAAGTGAATTGATCGAACAGAACAATTCCTTGTGAAATTGGACAGAACAACTCCACAGCAGTCATCGGGGCCAGATGCAGTGATCCATTACCCCTACCCTAGCACCGCCCAGCCCCTAGGGACCACAACCCTAACTCCATTAGTCACCGTGACTAAGGATTTTTCCCTTCATAGTCCACCCCCTGGAAGCCATTGGAGAGCCAGGTCTCTGAGCATGAGCTACTTGTGACTGTGGGTGTGGTGCCATCTCCTTAATAAATCCTTACTTTCTTGATGGGGAAAAAAAAAAAATCCCAACAACAACAAAAGTCGTTGGCACAAGTTAAGTACCAAGTAAGTATTTTTATTGTTGTTCTTGATGTTATCATGACATAGCTCTACTGCCAGCTTGAAATGACTCCATTCACAGTGTACATACTCAGTTTCTGAAAGATTTCCCTTCGGGTTAAGCATACTGTTGCTAAAATGCTAAGCCCTTCTTGGGTGAAGGGGGGATTCAGACCCCTTCTCTCTAACAAGAGGTTTTGAGCCACAGTGGGAGGATGGGAGGGTGACGGAGGGTGGGGAAAGGTGAGAATGGGAAAATAAGGTCTCCGTCGTGTAAAACCTCGCCTCCCCCCTAGTCCAGCCTCGCACCATCCCTTTCTGCCAGCTTCTCTAACAAGCCAACAGCCCCCTGAAGCCACTGCTTCCATTGTGAGTGTCCCTGCCTCCAGGTCTCTCTGGCTTTCCCCCCATTCCATCCAAATTGCCTGATGCATCCCAAAGTCGGCAGGCACCAACTCTCTTGTCAGCACTGTATTTATTTTATCTGGTTTACCTGTAAATTTATGCCTGTCCTAATGCATGTCTGAACTCCTCCAAAGTTGGTTCTCACATCCAACGAATTCCCAGCCTGCCAGGGCAGGGGTGGAGTGGCCCAGATGTCCCCTTACCTGGGTCTCTGAGAGGTTCAGCTGGCGGGCCAGCTCAGTGCGCTCCCGGCCCACCACGTACTGGCAGCGCTGGAACTCCATCTCCAGGCGGTACAGCTGCTCGGCCGTGAAGGATGTGCGAGTCCGCTTGGGCCGGTCCAGGTCCAGGCCCTTCGGAAGGACAATTTCCCGGATGGTCCCTTTGGCATCTGCAGGGGCCATGGAAGGAGGCTGGTTATTTCCCTAGTTAAGGAGTTAGGCCACCAACGAGCGTCTTAATTAACATGGGAAGTCCTTGAATGTGGGCCTGACTGTGTGACCTCTGACAAGGTGCTTACCCTCTCTGGACCTAGCTTCCTTAATCACTCCGTGCAATATGTTGCATCTAATGGGTGTATGTATGTGAGTGGGCCTCAGTACAAATGTCAGGTCTACTGTCATAGCCTGGGCAGAAGGGACTCAACTCTGGCTCAGCCAGGGCTCTGTTCTCTCAGCAGAGTAAGGAACACATGGAAAGAGACATACCAAGTGTTCAAGTGCAGAGGAAAAGATGGGTTAGCACTGGGTTTGGTCAGTTAGGTAAGGTTCGCTGGAGATGTCCCGAGCCAGGTCCTAAGCCCTGTGTGTGTGTGCACATGGGTGAGCACTCTGCACAGACGCTCCTGGGGTCCCTGAAGAGGCCAGCTGGTGTGAGGTAGAGGACAGCGTGGGGACTGGGGGTGCCCGGGGGGAGCCCAAGGACGCTTGCCACTGCATCAGGCTGGGGTGCCTTCCAGAGAAGGGCTGCTGCCAGCCCCCATTTACCTAGTTCTGAATAGCAGGGCCACCCCCCTGGGCCCTTCATGCACGGGGTCTCCAATATTCTGGAGCCTACTTGAGAGAGGTCGAAAACCCTGCACCCCACATTCACCAGATGGTCCCTCCTAAAGAACTCAGGAACAGCAACAGCGTGTTCAGCACAAGTCAAATGTTGGGGCTGGGGGTTGTTATTTACATATATATCAGCTTTAACAATAGTGACAAAAATGATCCATATTTGAACCATACATGTGGATGGCCTGAAATCCAGTTATTAGAAAATTTTATGTCAAAAGTTAGAGTGTGGAAATATGCAACACTGTATTCTGTAGAATTTACTGAACTACTCCCAACACAAGATGTTGATAATAATAAAGCTTAACGAACAGAAATTTACCGTTACTTAGGAAGATTGGCATCAATGGGAAAACTCAACGAACTCAAGGCAGTCCTGATCAAGACGCTCTCCACGGTTGCAGGAACCCCAACCCTCGGTAGGGGGCGTGGCAGCCCCCATTTATGTTTTAAATAGCTGACCCCTCTGCAATGCTTGATCTGAGGCAGGCACTGTTTTAAGCACTTGAACCCTTCCAGTGTATCACGGAAGTTGGACGTATTATTATCCCCATTTTACAGACAGGGAAATACATTTTAAGTAACTTACCAGAGGTCGCACTGACATTGTTCAGTAAATTCTAGAAGCACCCTCATTTTACTTTATGAGACCCCTTTTTTAATAAGCCTTAATGATTCCATTGATAGGTTAAAATGAAGACGACTTTGGTTATGGAGTAAAATGGAACGTTCCAGGCGGGTTCATCATTGCCCTGGAAGGCATGGGGAAGGACCTGCGTGTGGGGATATGTGCCTGTCAGAAGGTTCCTTGTGAGCCACAGGACTGTAGAACCCACCTTGAGAAGCCCTGATGGAGAAGGTGAACCTGAGACCTCTCCTTCCCAATTCCCCACCGTAGCATCTGAGACTGGTCCTTTCTGGCTCCTGCCAGGGCACATCTCTCCCCCAGGGGGCGCTTCAGCTGGTACATGGGCTCTGGCTCGCAGGTCTTGCCCCCAGGTCTCAGAGGTTCTCAAACACCTTCGTGTTCACAGTCAGCTCTGGGGGAGAAGGTGAGTCTGGGTGGGAGGACACAGCTACTGCCCAGAGGTGGCCCTCCCCCACCAGTGCGCAGGTCTCTCGCAGGGGTGCTGGGCATAGCGCAACAAATGGACATGGCCCGTGCTCCTGGAGTGTTGATGGGAACCGCAGGTGTCTTAGGACAACTGAAGCTTTCCCGTCCAATTCTTTCTATGTTCCAGAAAGGTGGAGTAATGTTTGTGATCCTGTTGTGACTGGGTCCTCTTTGCTCAGATCCCACTATTTCCAATTGTGAACCCAGTCTGAGAATGTCCTTAAAGCCCCGAAGTCACTCCATCTCCAAAGGCACTGATTTTTATTAAAGTTGTCTAGGGGGTGTGGTGCTGAAAGCCCAGTAAGCCCCCAAGGGCTTACCTGACGCTCCCAGCCCGTGCTCCGAGGTCAGACCATCCACCGTCACCACCACCCTTTCTTCCTGGCGGAAGAGCTAAGAGCGTTCCCACCCCAGGGAGCAGCCAAGGTTAGCTGTTCCTCCCATGTCAGGGGAGACAGGGACCATGTAAGAAAGGCAACCTCAGACCTGCCCACCAGATATCAAAACATGTCATACAGATAAGCACATGAAAAGATGCTCAACATTTCCACCCATTTGAAACGCCAAATCAAAACCATGCAAATCATATTAGAATAGCTAGAATAAAGAACGCCGAGAGTGCCAAATGCTGGTGATGATGTGGGGAAACTGGCTCTCTCAGGCATTGCGGGTTGGAATGTAAGTGGTTCAGCCACTCTGGAAACTGACCTGGCAGGTTCTTAAAGAGTTAAACATATACTTCCCATAGAACGCCGCAATCACACCGCTGGACATTTATCCTAGAGGAACAAGATCGTAGGTTCACATCAAAACCTGCACCCACAATTAAAAACAAACAAACAAATCTCCACATGAATGTTCATGGCAGCTTTAGTTGTAATAGCCCCCAAATGGGAAAAAACCCCAGATGTCCTTCAATAGGTGAATGCGTAAACAAACTGTGGTGTAGCTACTGCCCAGCAAACAAAAAGAATGACTATTGAGAGACATGACAACTGGGACAAATCTCTGGGTCATTATGCTAAGTGAAAAAAAGTCACTCTCCAAGATTCTGCGCTGTATGATTGATTTCATTTACATAACATTATCAAATGACAAAGTTATTGACGTGGGGCCCAGATCCGAGGGTGCCAGGGACTAGGGAGGGAGGGTGTGACTATAAAGGAGTAGTGTGAGCAAGTCCCTTGATAGTGACAGAACGGTTCTGTATCTTGATTGTAGTGTTTGTTACATGGACCTACAAATGTGATAAAATGTCATAGGGCTATATACAAAAACGAAATATAAGTGCATCCAAAATAAATAAAGGCTGTAGGTCGGTAGACCAGTCAATTATATTGTGCCAGTGCCACTTTCCTGAATTTGATAGTGTGTTATGTAAGATGTCACCGTTGGGAGAAGACCATCTTGTGAGTCTGAAATTATTTCAAAATAAGACATTAACAACAACAAAACATGCCATGAAGCTAGAATGATGTTCTGTCACAGAAATGGACAAATCCATTGGTGGAAAGGATGCAATAGTGTTTCCCCAAAGTTACTCTGCATTCCACTTGTGGTTTGTAAGATGATTTAAAATGCCAATGCCATTTCATTTCAATGGTTAAGCACTTACTTTAATGTTTACTAGAAAAAAAGGTAAAGCTATGATTTTATGTGCTTAGGATGAAGCTAAAGTAGGTATTTAACTTTAAAATGCATTATGCTACAATATTAAATAAATGGAATAAAAATCTAACAGAAATGATGAAGATAGCATTCAAATGACTAGATACTGGGAAACAATGGGATCAAGAGTGTACAATTAGATCCATGTACATATAACGATAAAGTTCATGATCAAAAGAGAACTCTAAATGCGGAAATTTGATCTAGTCAAGAAGTGGAGTTAAGTAGATTAATGTCTATAAATTATCTGTTTGGAATAAAATTCAATTATATTCCTATCTCATACCATAAATAACAATACGTTTCAAATAAATTAGAGCGCAAATCATAGACTATGAAATGATAAAGGCACCAAAAGAAATGTAGGGGAGTATTTTTATAATCCTAAGCATGGGAAGAGCTTTCTCAGCAAGATACAAAACTGGAGCTGAAAAGGGAAAATGAAGGATGTAGTTGAATAAATTAAAGCTAAAAACTTTGGTATGGCAAAAGCACCAAAACCAAGGTAAAAATACAAACAAAACAAAACAAACAAACCAGAATTGAAGAAAGTAGTTTTTAAAAAGACAATGAAATAATATTCAGAATATATAAAATGCAATTACAAATAAGTGTTTTTTTTTTAAAAGGGAAATAGTCTAGTAGAACAAAAATGCTCAAGTCATTTATCTTGTCCACAGAAAAAGATGCCAAATGGCCAATAAACATATTGCCAAGAAAAACAAGCACAGCTTCAAAGAAATCAGGTAACGCAAGTTCAAGCAACAATGGGAAAATCATTTATCTCCTGTAAGATTGGAAAGACATTAAAAAATGATTAATAAAGCAGTGATGCATCATAAGAAAATCTATCCTCCAATTAACTGTTGGTAGCACCATAAATTATCATGACTTTTAGGTCTGCATTTGTCAAGCTTAAAGATGCACATAACTTTTGCCTTGACAATTTTATTTTAGTAGGTTCTTATTGAGAAAATCACAGGTTCATGTCCTCCAAGGTATATATAAGGATGTCTGCTACAGCATCATTCAAAATATTAAAACTTTGAAAGTATCCTCAATCTTCCCCACAAGGCATATGGCTGAACAAATTGTGGTAATTCATACTATAAAATACCATGTAATTAAAAAGAATGAGGCAATCTATGTATGAACTGACATTAAGTGAAAGTTATTAAATAATATTTGTAGTACTATACCACTTACAAGTATATATATTCAACCATTCAACATATATTTCATAAGTAACTGCTACGTGCCAAATACTATTATAGGGTCTGAGGATATAGAAATGAGCCAAATAAACAAGGTCTGTGTTTTATCAAATAACAAACTGAAAGGTCATCAGTTCGATTCCAGGTCAGGGCCCATGTGTGGGTTGTGGGTTCGGTCCCTGGTGCATGCAAGAGGCAATCAATCGATATTTTCCTCTTACATCGATGATTCTCTCTCTCTCTTTCTCCCTTCCTTCCCCTCTCTCTAGAATCAATAAATGGAAAAAAAAATTGTTTTTATCATGCCACACTCCTTCCCCTACTGTGATGGTCCTGGAAG